GGTCAGCAGATGAGAGTGATGGAAGAAGGAGTAGAGAAGAGGTGTTGAAATTTTGAGAGAACTTGAGAAAAGGGAAGAATAGCATCCTAGAGAATAGAGGACTTGATTCGATAATAAAGACCATTATAAACTTATGAACAAAAATAGATACAGAGGCAGAGCTGCCTCAAACAAACTGTCAAACTACAGTGGGGAGGGTTGGGGGGCAGGAGGGGGGAGCAAGAGATCAACTGAAGGACTTGTATGCATGCATATAAGCATAACCAATGGACATAAGACACTGGGGGGCAGGGGAGGTCAGGGAATTGTCAAGGGCAGGGGGAAAAAAGGAGACATATGTAATACTCTTTGTAATACTTTAAGCAATAAAACAATTTAAAAAAAAAGAAACAGAGGTGGCATTTTTAGTCCCCCATACTGACATACTTCCTTAAGGTCTTGACTCAGCAGTCACACCAATGAAGCCTTCCCTGCCCGCCCTATTAAAACTTCAAGCCTAATCTCTCCATTTCCTGCCCTTTTTCCTTAGCTCTTACCATCAATAGGCCATGTGCTTAACATACTTTCCTTGTTTATTGTCAGTCTCTCCCTCTTTTCACGTAAAGCCTGTTTTACTCACTATTTATTGTCCTTCCAGTATCTGGAACAGTCCCAGATACAATAGAAACTCAGATATTTGTTGTTGAGAAAGCTGACAAGGTATAGAGAAACAAGTACTTTCATAGCCTGCTACCGAGTAAATGGTCCAACCATTCTGGAAGTAGTTGTGAAGTATGTAAAAGTCTCAAAATTGTGCTTGCCCTTTGACCCGACATTTCTCCCTCTAGGTATTTATCACATACGGAAGTAATTAAGGGTGTGCTAGAAGATTCAGCCACAGTGGAACGCTTTTAAAACTCTTGAACTCTGACATGTTGGAAGGAATGTAGGTTGTTTTTGAAATGTGGCAAGAACTATTTTGCAGAATTGGTCAAAAGAGACCTTCCTTTCTCTCCTGTTACCTTAGCTTTTAAAAATACTGTTTTGTTACTGACTTTTTAAACCTACTTCCTCCTAAAGCAAAACTAAAAGTGACCTATCCAATTTTTCCACAGGTCCCTTAATATGGACTTTGAAAATCAAGATAAAGAGAAAGACAGTAACAGTTCTTCAGGGTCTTTCGGTGGCAACAGCAGCAATAATAGTAAGTCGCCTTATGTAGTTAACTTTCATGCCTGTCGTCGCTTCTTGATTATTTCTGTAACCCAGTTTATCCACTGGGTTCAAGATGTACGTTTGCTGTAACAAAATCTAGTCTGTATGGTATAATTTGTTAAGTTATTATGTTTTGAATCTGAGCTACTGATTCCTGCGTGCTGCTTCTAACTCATACCTAAAAGATGGCTGCTGGGGTTCTTTATCTTCCCAAGATAAGCAAGATAGAGACTATCTGCCCATTTATGACTTCATTTCAGGATTTTGTTGAGGCTGATAACTTTGTTAGTAAATCATAAATTCATTCTGTGACTCTTAAAGATAGCTACTTGAAGTGCTTGTAAAAACTAAGTACTGTATCTCTTCTGAATTTAAAATTCTATAAGAATACTTGTTTAAAAAAATACACAGAAGTGTGGTATATGGCAAATGCTCAGCAGCATTATTCATAACAGCCAAAAAGTAGAAACAACTCAAAGATCCATAAGATAGTGAATGGATTAACAAAATATGCCTATTTATCTATAATGTACATGAAATGCTGTTCAGCATTGAAAAGAATGAAGTACAAGCTGTACTATGGATGGAACTCAAAACACTGTGTTAAGTAAAAGAAGCCAGACAGAAAAGAATATATATTGTCTGAGTCATTTATATGAAATTTCCAAAAAGGCAAATATATAAGGTAGATAAATAAATACAGAAGGTAGATTAGTGGTTGCCTGGGCCTAGGTGTGGGAATAATTAACTAACCTGGCATGAGGAAATCTTCTTGAGTTGATGAAAGTGTTCTAAAATTATTTTATGGGGATGGTTTCACACTTTGGTAAATTTACCACAAAAAATGAATTATGCACTTAAATGAGTGAATTTTATAAATTGTACCTCAATATAGTGATAGAAAATTGGTAATCCTATCTAATAAAAATATAATATGCAAATTGACCATCACTCCAACAAACAAGAAGGCCAGCAGGGGAGGGCAGTTGTGGGCGATCAGGCCAGCAGGGGAGGGCAGTTGGGAGGAACCGGGCCGGCAAGGGGAGTAGTTAGGCGTTGATCAGGCGGGCAGGGAGTGGTTAGGGGGTGAGGGTGATCAGGCTGGCAGGCAGAAGCGGTTAGGGGCAGGCAGGCAGACGAGCAGTTGGGAGCCAGCAGTGCTTCCTCGAGGGGTCCCAGATTGGAGAGGGTGCAGGCTGGGCTGAGGGACACCCCCCTCCCCCCATGCAATAATTTCGTGTACTGGGCCTCTAGTGTTTATTATAAAAAGAAAATGAATTAGCAATAGGAGATTTGGTTTGATAATATTAAGAGATTGGTATTGGATATCTACTTTGCATTCGGCATTCTCTGAAGTATATTGAAAGATGCAAAAGTGTAAGAGCTGGTTCCCAAGCTGTCCCAGGGGCAGTGTGGGCAAAATCATTTCCAAAGGGTGATAAATGCTAAGACAGACATAGCAAACACCGCTTCCCATCTGATACCTACAGTAGATACTTCTGACCCTTAACATAGCCTCAGAATCCTTCTGAACAAGCACTTACCAGCAGCAGATCAGAGGAAATACTAGAGGTGAAGTCATTTTGACATATATATACAAAGAGAGTAAAGAGAGCCCAGCTGGTATTGCTCAGTGGTGTGAGTGTAGACCCATGAACCAAGAGGTCCTGGTTCTGCCGAAACCGGTTTGGCTCAGTGGATAGAGCGTCGGCTTGCGGACTGAAAGGTCCCAGGTTCGATTCCGGTCAAGGGCATGTACCTGGGTTGCAGGCACATCCCCAGTAGGAGATGTGCAGGAGGCAGCTGATCGATGTTTCTCTCTCATCGATGTTTCTAACTTTCTATCTCTCTCCCTTCCTCTCTGTAAAAAATTAATAAAATATTTTAAAAAAAAAGACAAAAAAAAAAGAGGTCCTGGTTCTATTCCCATGGGTTGTGGGCTCAGTCCCTGGTGTGGGGCATGCTGGGGGCAGCTAATCGATGATTCTCTCTCATCATTGAGGTTTCTGTCTCTCCTCCTTCCTCTCTGAAATCAATAAGAATATATTTTTTAAAGAAAGCGTAAAGAGAAAGGCAAGTCAGGGTGAGCAACAGTGAATCAGATTAGTGAGGGACTCTTTCCTAGAAAAGGTGAGTTTGACTTGAAACAGTGAACTTGGATTGGTGGAGAAGTCGTTCCAAGTGGGAAGGACATAACAGCAGGCACAGAGAGCAAGTATGACCTACAGGTTAACATCACCATTGAGTAAGGAGGAAATACTAGGGATTGAATATAAAGTTAGATAGAAATATCATAGAGGATCTTAGAGGTTAAATTGGAGATCACTTAATAGCTACTTCAGTTTCTCTAGTTATTGTAATATCCCACCAATGAAATTATACTTGCCCATTTTTCACCCAGTTAAATGTGTTGTCCCCAGTAGTATAAAGTGTGCATGATAAATGCAGTGAGTAGAATCATTTAAGTATGAGTCTTTTCTTAAACTTACAACATAGATCCTTGTAGGAGGTAGAATGCCATACCAGTAAATTACCAGGAGCCAGGTAAAACCCAGCGTCAGGATCTGATTTTCAGGTTAAATTATTAGCAGCTTGCTATCTATCAACATTGTAAGCCAAATCACTTTATACTAGTACTCTTTTTAAAAATATATATATTTTATTGATTTTTTACAGAGAGGAAGGGAGAGGAATAGAGAGTTAGAAACATCGATGAGAGAGAAACATCGATCAGCTGCCTCTGCACACTCCTCACTGGGGATGTGCCCGCAACCAAGGTACATGCCCTTGACTGGAATCGAACCTGGGACCCGTGAGTCCGCAGGCCGACGCTCTATCCACTGAGCCAAACCGGTTAGGGCTACACTGGTACTCTTGAAACTCTTTTTAAAATCCTGTATTATATAGCATATATGCAAATGATGTACTTACACCAGATTATAAATCTGTTCTACATTGCATCACAGAAATCTAAGAGAAATAAAATTAAGTACAATTTTATCCTCAAATAGATAAGTGGTTAAGTTAGTCCATACAGTTGAAAGAAGATATCTGCAACATCATTTTTTAATTTCTCATTAATCAGCATGTAAAAAACAGGAAATGGTTGTTTAAATGGTCATTTTCTTAAGTCTACCTCCTATGTTATGCTGAATTATCCTCAACAAATGTGTTTCTTCAGTGCCTAATCTGGGCCACGGATACCAAAAAGATAAGCACAGATTAAGCTAGAATGCAGTCCACACTCCACATAAAGAAATGACCATTGTAGAGAAGGCCAGTACTTGATTATGGAGCATGACACCATTCCAGACTGAAGGGATGGCATGCATTTATCAAAAATCAAAGAAATGATAGCCTGAAAGATGAACAGAGAAATAGAAGAGATTGGGTAGGTGCTAAACAGATTGAAGTCACAAATGAGCAGCAGTGTAGAATTGGGGGAAGCTTATAAGAAAAGGATCTAGTGTTGAAATTTTGGCAAGAGCCCTGGCCAGTGCCCCTCAGTTGGTGGGACATTGTCCCATGCGATGAAAGATTGCTAGTTTGATTCCCAGTCAAGGCACATGCCCTGGTTTAGGGCTCCATCTCCAGTAGGGGGCGCGCAGGAGGCAGTCAAGATCGATGTTTCACTCTCACGTGGGTGTTTCCCTCTCCCTTCCTCTCTCTCTAAAAGTCAATTTAAAAATCTTTAGAAAAACAAAGATTTTGGCAAGAATGTTATGAACCGTTTGAAGGAGAAAGTGACTGGTAGAAAGAGGTTTCTTAAAGGTTGTGTTGCCTCCTCCCAAAATAAATAAGAATCAAGACATCAGAGTGAGTGAACGGACAGCTAGGCATAACAGCATGGGTATTTCTCACAATGTTGAGTGGAAGAAGCCAGACACAAAAAAATACGTATTATGTAATTCCATGTATGTAATAAGTTTTAAAAGGCAAAATAAATATATAGTAGTATTTTAAGGTGCATGCTTGGGTAGAAAACATAAAGCAAAGAAGAAAGACTCATGAAAGGCAGCTAACCCTTTGGAGGCAAGAGAGAGAGATTAGTGACGAGGAGGGCACGAGAAAGACTTCTGAGGTTGGCCTGGAAGAAATTAGCTCTGTGATGATTCACTGTGCTCCTCACATTCGTTTCATATTCTTCTCTGTGCGTGTGCTGTGTTTCACAATAAAAAGAGTTAGAGAGGAGAGGGAGGGGTCCCGCAGGGTCCTCTCTGATTTTCCCTCCTCTTGCTCTTTCTCATCACTACGCCTGCCCCAAGAAGTCTGTATAAAGATTTTCACCCCTGGCACATCAGTCCTTCATTTAATTAGTATTAAGTGGGGTTTTTTTAAGTGCCCCTCCCTTCCCATTATCTAATAAATTAAAGTCCTTTCCTAGGTTTTTCATGTAATTTATTTTAACTACGAGGATTGATGGAAACATACAGTTGGAATTCTCTTCATTAAGAAGGACATACATCTTTATCTCCCCATCTACACTCTAAACTTTGTAAGATCTGGAAATGACTTTTTAAAATTCCTCATGTTGCCTACTAGATAATAGATGTTCAGTAAATACTTGGTTAAAAGCATGCTTCTCTCATGGAGGTGCAAAATCAATAACTTTCTTAACAATTATCAGCAGTACACTGGTGTGTTGCTTGATGTCTGCTAATTATATGACCAGCCATGTAATTAGCCTGTAGCCATGTTCACTGAGTGCTAACATGTCTCTGTACACAATTTGTAATTCTAACACCAGGCATTTTTCTTTTGTTGATGTTGGCTTTAAATATAATACAGCTGCACTTAAGTCCTCCCAATTATGGCTGCTCTGTTTGCTTTGCTGTTTTGTTTTGATGTCCCTGGATTTGGGCTAAAATTGTTAATTACTAGCTCCTTTCCCTTCGGGACCATTTTCTACAGCCCTTTAAAAGCGCTGCATTGAAGTTGTGCACACTATTAGGCAGCGTGTGCTTGGCAACTACAGGGCTTAACTTGTCGTGTGACACTGCTGTTCGGTAAGCCCTCTGGGGCACCCTTCCTCAACACTAACGGTGGGAGCAGTGTCTAACGCCCCAGTTAAAAATCTCTGCTTTCAAAAAAGAAAAAACTGCAGCCTAATTCGAGAAAGGTTCTTTGTATTCAGTTTTGCGTTTTAATTGCAGAATGAATTTCTAAAATTTAGATTTATTATAAACAAATACCTCTCATGCCTGACTTATTAAACAGTGTTTGTTCTAGCCAGCCATTCAATTTTTCTGTTCATATTTTAAACGAATATAATTAAGCTGTAGACTATATGATGCTTCATTTTACAGAAAGGGGGGTGTATTTTAAGATTTATAGATTTTTTAAAAGACTTGTTTTTACCTTATAATAAAAATTATTCATTTGAGAAACCGCTATTTTCTGTTGTGAAAGGCACCTGAAATTTGTAGTTTCCTCTAGTTCTTTGAACTATTGTAGAACACTAAAAAAAACCCACAAAACTAAGTGAAATATAGTTAGAGATTTCATAGAGTTTTGTCTTATAAATGTCCATAAGCTCCCCCCTCCTCCAACCCCACCAAATGATCCATGGGCTATAGTGAGATACAGCATCCACCTCTTCTCGAGATCATTTCTGCTTGTCTTTTTTTTTTTTTTAATTGGTTTCAGAGAGGAAGGGAAATAGTGATAGAAACATCAACGATGAGAAAGAATCATTGATGGGCTGCCTCCTGTATGCCACTTACTGGGGATTAAGCCCACAACCTGGACATGTGCCCTGACTGGAAATTGAACCCAGAACCCTTCAGTCCACAGGTCGACGCTCTACCCACTGAGCCAAACTGGCTGGGGATAATTATTTATTTATTTTATTGATTTCAGAGAGGAAGGAAGAGGGAGAGAGAGAGAGAGAAACATCAGTGATGAGAGAGAATCATTGATTGGCTGCCTCTTGCACACCCCCTACTGGGGATGGAGCCCAAAACCTTGGCATGTGCCCTTGACTGGAATCGAACCCAGGACCTTCAGTCTGGCTCAATCCACTAAGTCAAACCGGCTAGGGCTTCTGTTTGTCTTGACATATAGATCACTCTTCCTAAGTTGAATTACTCTATTCCTAAGTGAATTATTTGACTCATCTACCCAGCTAATAAGCAGTTTTGTTTTGTAGAAATATTTAATATTTTATTTCACCAAAATTCCTAAATAATGTTCTTAGGGACAGGTAAGTTTACCGAAGAACAATTTTTTAAAAAATATATTTTATTTTTTTCAGAGAGGAAGGGTGAGAGATGAGAGTTAGAAACATCTATGAGAGAGAAACATCGATCAGCTGCCTCCTACACATCTCCTGCTGCAGATGTGCCCGCAACCAAGGTACATACCCTTGACCGAAATTGAACCTGGCACCTTTCAGTCCGCAGGCCAACGCTCTATCCACTGAGCCAAACCGGTTTCTGCCCAAAGAACAATTTTTAAATGTTGGTTGCTAATTGCAACCCTTTGTGTC